GCACAAGGAAATCACTGAGTAGGATTTGAAGCTCAGACCATGGTGACCCCATCTTGGGGTGCCTGGGTGCATTTGCATGGGGGTCTGCCCCGCACATGTGGGTGCATTCGAGCTCGGCACCCACAGGTTTGGGTCAGACCACGCATGGCTGCTTGTCTACTTGGAAGGATCAGGCCTGCTGCAAGTATGAGGACAGTGTTCAAGGGGCTGTGCACAGGGGCCAGGCACAGTTTGTTGCTCACTTACTGGTGTGGCCTTCCTGTTAGAGGGTGGGAGGGAAAAAATCGTCACGGTATTTCGGGCCCGAGGAAGGGGGTTGAGCTCTCAGTTTCCCAGCCAGCGTTAAAGGAGGAGAGTTTGGGATGCTGTACACAGAAGACTCCAGGCCTAGGGACCATGCCTGGAAACACGATCATCAATTACCTTAATTTGTCATGCACAGACCTTGGGCAAGGGACCATGTTTAAGGGGCAGGGTGGGGACGTTGTGAGAATGGACTCAAGTGGAAAATAGGAATTTCTTTAGGAACTTGGACTAAGGCAGGCCTTACAGTTCTAGGGGCTTTAAAAGTGTGACATGGGAGCTGGAGTAATGTGGAGCTGGAGCTGGAGCACCGCAGGCAGGGTGTGTTTGCCTTGCACGCAGACAACCCAGGTTCAATTCCTAGCATCCTGTATGGTCTCCCGAGCACTGCCAGGAGTAATTCCTGAGTGCAGAGCCAGGAGTAACCTCTGTACATGGCCGGATGTGACCCACCCCTCCCCACCCCCCAAAATAAAAGGTGTGACATGAAGAAAACCCTGGTTGGCGGAAGAATGAGTGAACTGGCTGTGAGGGGAATGTGGGTGTAGGCAATGTCCTTGCCTGGGTGCACTGTCACCTGCTGATTGTCAGGTGGACAGTCTTTGCAGTGTTTCCTAGAAGGCCCAGCACAATCTGGGACAATCCTGGGAGCTGGTGAAAACCCCCGTGAGCACTGGAGGAGGAGAGGGGGCCTCTTGGCCAAGCACACTAGGCTGGAGCTTCTCACACCTTACAGATGCCCTCCTTCTCAGACTCTGCATGGAGCTCTGGGCTTTGGTCTCAGGCTTTGGCCCCTTCCTTTCAGATCTCTGCTCTTTAGACCAACTTGCCCGTACACACTTCCTCATTCCCATTATTAGCTGCAGTGGCCCTCACTGAAGCTGGCGAATAGGGCCAGAAGGTATAAGTAATTCTTGATGGGCCTGAGCAGTTTAGTGGGATACTTAGCTTCTAAGTCCCTACCTAATGGAACTCAGTGACTGTTGAATCCTTAGGAGATCATTCGGCTCTTTTGATTTGGAGAGTGTGGCAGGCGTGGGGGGTGGCTCAGGTTATAGACTATTGACTATTCATAGTCAGTGTCCTACAGGTCATATGCTTTTGGGGGTGGAGTCCAGTTTGGTATTTAAAACAAAGCCTCAATACACAGAGGAAACCCCTGCACAGTGAGTGTGCTCATACCATTCCTTGCCTGGTTCACCCTATTCCTTCAGTTTCTTGTCACGGAGAAAGCCTTACAGAACAGGGCGGGGTGGGGTGGGGATTGGAAAGAGATAGTGCAAAGGGCAGGGGTTCATGCTTTGCATGTAGGAGGTCTGAATTTGATACCCAACATGGTCTCCTCCCCCAAATACCTCTGGGAGCAACCTTGAGGAGCTGGATATAGCCTGTGAGCAATGCCAGGTGTGGCCCGGACAAAGTAATCCCCTCCCATCCCTTGTGCCCCCCCCCCCCCCCCCCCACACACACACTCGAAATTATAGGCCAGGCACCAGCTCTTTGAGAAAATCCAGACCACAAGTGATGCTGAGCTGGTGGAATACTTGAGAGCACAAAGATGAGGAAGACTTGAATAAGCCCCCCAGCTCCTAGTTCACAGGCTGCACTTGGAAAGAATTAATGTGTATCAAAAAGAAATTGATCTTTTTAGAATAAATGGAGATTTTCATTTCTCACTTGGGTCCCATAATGTCTTTTAAAAGTTCAGGCTATTTTCTATGGTTCTGGGGTACGAAGTGGTCGAAAATGGTGAGACTTGGGTAGAAAGCTTGCATCTTTTACAACTATCAGCCCACCTTTATCCTCCTTATTGGCCCTCCTCAGAGGGGCATAGACTTCTTCCCGGAGTAGCTATGCACTGACCTTTTATAGGAGAAGCATTCCTTTAAACCTTCATTCTGGTGTAAAGTTGCTCATGTGGCCACAGAAAGAAAACTTGTGTGTTTGCAAGCGAATTCTAGACAGACAGCAATACTCCTTGGCATTGTGGAGCGACTTGTACATCTGAAGAAAAACAGACACCAGCACACGTATTTAATTAGCACTACTTGATGGAGACCATTCAAGATCTTGCTGGGAGCAGAGCATTTATTTTGAGCACTTTAAATATGGAAGGCTTCTAGAAACATACGGCTAACTTGAGTGCTGCCTTTTGAAGTTGAAAATGGACGACTTTTCCTTCGCTGGGTTTTGTTCCTGCCCTTGTGAGTGCTAATAATAATGATACATATCCTCTGGGCCGAGATAAGAGATCCAGGTCTGATGGTGTGGCTTCTATAAATAGTATCAGGCCATGTGCACAGAGTACAGTGTGGAGGTTTAACCTTTGCAACGGCTTGCTCCTAACAGTAGCCCCGCTCTGCCTCTGATGAATTGCTTGTTTGACAAGGCTTCCTTTGCTCTGCCCGCCCCTCGCCCCCACCCCCTCCAGTGTCCCTTTGTCCTGTTTGAGACCACCATTTCGGGACGCAGTAGGCCGGAGTCACCGCCCCATCGACAGGCACCTCCAACCCTGGACCCGGCCTGCATTAGTAGAAGGGGTCTAGGCCGGGCCACCACCCCCTTCCCAGCGCAGAGCCCCATTATTCCAGCCCTGCTCTCCGCTCCCGAGGCTGCCCTGGGCCCAGCCAATCAGACGCGAGCGTTTCCCGCGGGCGCGGGCCAATGGGCAGCCAGCATTCGCTGGAAATGCGAAACCCTTAGGGGAAAAGCAATAACAAAAGCCTTTCACTGCAGACAAATGTTAAGTGTCTGTGCAGACTTTTCCTGTTTTTAATTTTATTACTGCAAGAATGGAAGGCTTGTTGTTTCTTTCATGTTTCCTTTCAAGCAATTTTAATTATACATTTGTGCTACATCGGGGACTCTGGAACGCAGTGATTCAGCCTATTGCGTCTAAAGCTAAAATGCACTCACCTTCTGGCAATACAGATATATTCTTGCACTGTAAATATAGCTGACATGCTGAAGAATTTTAAGCAGCTGCAAAGGTCTTTGACACCACACGCAGTGCCCCAGAGAGCAGATGATGAGAAAACCAGCTCAATCCTTCCTCTGGCTCCCAGCCCCTCCTTTTCCCGGAAGGGATGTGCTCATAAAGAATGCTGCCCTCCAATTGTTCTGTCTTGTGCAAATTTGGACCAAATGCCTAATTATCATTGATTCTCATCTCAGTATGGATTTTTATACTCAGTGCTTTGAAAAAATATTTTGTTGTTGTTGTTTCCTGGGGGAATTACAGTGGAATCAACTGTGATTTGAAAGATGCCTTTTTAGCTCTCCTCTCCCTCCCTGAGACTGTTCTGGGGGGCGAATTCAGTTGTCACTTAAGTAATAGTAACACACACTGTCTGGAAAACAACTTAAAAATCTCATATTAAGTCTTCAGATACAGTTCTTCCTTCTCCACTGCTTGAGTCCCAACCGTGGAAATATTTAACCCACTGTTTGAATGTTCTCTGGGAAATAAGTCTTACGTTGTGAGGTATGTCCCTGGCCATAAAGGAGCTCAATGCGGGCTCTCTGTCATTCAAAATGGCAGGAGCAAGTGAGCAAGCCAGCTAGACTTAGACTTGGAGTAATGTTCTTTGAATTTTCCAAGATTGAATAGGGGGCAGGTATAGACAAGAAAACACTTTCCTAAATATTTCATTTCTTTACATGGTCTCCAAATCTCGGTCTTTTTAAAATGTGCTTTAAAAGAGTAGTTAAAAAAAATGCATGGCACTTGTCCTGTAGAGAAATAAGAGGAGGTTATATTTTGTTTCCCTATGACATTTGGTGTACCCTGTGCACTGAAGTTTAGTAATTCACAGATGCAGTGCTAAATTAAATTGCCTGTCTGCAAAGCAGTTGGGAAAAGCAGAATGATTCGCAGGAAGCAAGTGTTGGTTTTGAGATTTTTTTTTTCTAATCCTCTGTGGCAAATGCTTACTAAAGTTGATTCTAAAGATAACCCCAAGAGCAAACCTATTGTGCACATTTATTTTCTTAAGAGGGCTATTTCAGGAGTCCTTAATATGAAACAAGACCAGACAGTGAAATAGATACTTGTAGCAAGACTGATAGGTGTCTCACAAAGTCAGAGAGGGCAGGATTAGTTGATTGTCTGCTATCTGTATTCTAAATCCCATTCGTTGCCTGCTTTCTTCTATATTTTTGTGCATATATATGTATGTATGTGTATATATATATATATACTGCTTTATTTTGTATTGTTGAATTAGAAACAAAACTGATTCTTTTCAGTCACCTTATGGTTTAAGCACTGGTAGCAGTGCTTCCTTGATGTTGGCTGCTTGCCAAACGAAAGCAATTATGTGTAATAATAGAAAAATTAAGAGGTGAGTGTTGCTGTTTTACAGCAGGACATGGCAAAAACCATTTCCTTCTGTCAGCAGTATCTTGATTACACTCTCACATATAGTCTGACTCTTTTATACCACACATACATGCACTTGGGTCTGTGTATGTACACACACACACACACACACACACACACACACACACTTCCTGTGGGTTTTCACTTGAGGTCACTGAAACCAGAAAGAGGAAGAATGCAAACCACAACTTTTAGAAGCAAAGGAGAGTAGAATTCTACTGGTTAAAAAACACAGTGATGATGGTAAATGGTGGGGAGAGGGAGTGATGAGCTCTGATCTATAATGGTGGCCCTCCTGCATTCCCTACCTCTGCAGGTGTCCTGGTGGTGAATGTCACGTGGAGGAACAAGACTTATGTGGGCACTCTGCTGGACTGCACCAAGCATGACTGGGCACCTCCCAGGTACACACGGGCCTTTCTCCTCTGCTCCTTCCTCCTCTCCTCCCCCCTCACTCTGCATCCTCTTTCTGCAAACAGACTGGAGAGATTAATAATACATAGAAGTCGGCATGTAATTGTAGCCAGCAAAGAGAAACCAACAGTTGTGGGCTGAACCCAGCAAAATGCAGGGGCTGGATTTCTTTCCCACCGGGAGCTTTCTCCCCTTTGTTTTTCATTTTCTTTTTTTTTTTTTTCCTCAGAATGGGACTGGGAACTGGGTTAAAGCCAGCTCCTGGCGTTGTGTGCTTTGGTTTTCTGGGGAGCACTATAAGTCAGTGACTGCCTGCTCTTGGCCAGGTGCAGTAGTAGAGCAATGTCTCTTGCTTTGCCGGGGTGGCCGTCCTGTTCTGCATGGGGTGCTGACTCTCCTGGACTGCTTTGATGTTGTGTGTGCCTTAGCTGCTTGGTTCCGGGTCACGCTTAAACTGACCTCTCGTCTTTGCTTTCCTAGGTTCTGTGAGTCTCCCACGAGTGACCTGGACATGCGAGGGGGCCGAGGCCGAGGGAAGAGAGCGCGCTCGGCAGCGGTGGCCCCAGGCTCAGAGGCCAGCTTCACTGAGTCCCGAGGGCTGCAGAACAAGAACCGAGGGGGTGCCAACGGGAAGGGGAGGCGGGGCAGCCTCAACGCCAGCGGGCGAAGGACACCCCCAAACTGTGCTGCTGAGGACATCAAGGCCAGCCCCTCCTCCACCAACAAAAGGAAAAACAAGCCACCTCTGGAGCTCGACCTGAACTCCAGCTCGGAGGACAACAAGCCCGGGAAACGGGTCCGCACGAATTCGAGAAGCACCCCCACCACGCCCCAGGGGAAGCCAGAGGCGGCTTTTTTGGACCAGGGCTGCTCTTCCCCGGTGCTGATAGACTGTCCCCACCCAAACTGCAACAAAAAGTACAAGCACATTAATGGCCTGCGGTACCACCAGGCCCATGCACACCTGGACCCCGAGAACAAGCTGGAGTTTGAGCCTGATAGCGAGGACAAGATCTCAGACTGCGAGGAGACGTTGAGTAACGTGGCCCTGGAGTGCGGCGAGCCCAGCACAAGTGGCTCCTATGACACTGTGAAGGCGCCCACATCCCCTGGCCCAGGGAACCCCCCGGGAACCCCCAAAGGAAAGCGAGAGCTGATGAGCAATGGCCCGGGTTCTGTGATGGGTTCCAAAGCGGGGAAGAACTCCGGCAAAAAGAAGGGCCTGAACCATGAACTGAATAACCTTCCGGTGATCTCCAACATGACGACTGCAATGGACAGTTGCTCAGCCGCAGATGGTAGTTTGGCCACCGAAATGCCCAAACTGGAAGCCGAGGGCTTGATCGATAAGAAAAATTTGGGAGAGAAGGAAAAGGGTAAGAAAGCCAACAATTGCAAAATGGACAAGAACCTCTCGAAACTTAAAACTGCCCGGCCCATCGCCCCCGCCCCCGCCCCCACGCCGCCCCAGCTGATTGCCATACCCACTGCAGCCTTCACCAGCACCACCACAGGGACCATCCCGGGCCTGCCCGCCCTCACCACCACCGTGGTGCAGGCCACACCAAAGAGTCCTCCGCTCAAACCCATTCAACCAAAGCCCACGATAATGGGGGAGCCTGTCACCGTGAACCCAGCCCTGGTGTCACTCAAAGACAAAAAGAAGAAGGAGAAGCGAAAGCTCAAGGACAAAGAAGGGAAGGAGACAGGAAGTCCGAAAGTGGAGGCGAAGCTGGGTAAACTGGAGGATGCCAAGGGGGTGGGGAAAGACTTGTCTGGGCATTTTTTAAAGGACCATCTCAGCAAAAGTGAGGGGCTGGCCAACGGGCTGTCTGAGTCGCAGGAGAGCCGCATGGCCAGTATCAAGGCCGAGGCTGATAAGGTGTACACGTTCACTGACAACGCACCCAGCCCTTCCATCGGCAGCGCCTCAAGAATGGAGTGCAGTGCCGTGGTGAATGGGCAGGTGCCCATGGCCCCCCTGCATGTGCTGGCCCAGAACGGCCCTGATGGCTCAGCGGCCAAGACCAGCAGCCCCGCATACTCCGACATCTCGGATGCCGCGGATGATGGCGGCTCCGACAGCAGGTCGGAGGGGCTGAGGTCCAAAGCCAGCTCCCCCGCCGATGTCCTTGCTGGGAAGGATGGGGTACTCAAAGGGCATCCGGCAGCCACCGCACCATCCTCACAGGTGAAAGAGTCCCATTCCCCCTACTACCACGGCTACGATCCTTACTACTCCCCAAGCTATATGCACCCGGGCCAGGTGGGCGCCCCTGCGGCTGGCAACGGTGGGAGCAGCCAGGGAATGAAGATCAAGAAGGAGTCTGAGGAAGAGGCGGAGAAGAAGGACCGGGCGGAGCAGCTCGAGGCCAAGAAGGTGGAGCACAACCCGGCGCCGCTGCAGCACCAGTCGGTGATCACGCAGCGGCACCCCGCCCTGGCCCAGTCGCTCTACTATGGCCAGTACGCCTATGGGCTGTACATGGACCAGAAGTCCCTGATGGCCACCAGCCCGGCCTACAGACAGCAGTACGAGAAGTACTACGAGGACCAGAGGCTGGCCGAGCAGAAAATGGCCCAGGCGGGGCGCGCAGAGAGTGAGAGGAAAAACGAGCTCCCCCTGAAAGAACTGGGCAAGGAGGACAGTAAGCAGAAAAACGTGCCGTCGGCCACAATCTCAAAAGCTCCCTCTACTCCGGAGCCTAACAAACCCCATTCTAAACTAGGGCCGTCAGTGCCTAATAAAACTGAGGAGACAGGTAAATCGCAGCTTCTCTCCAATCACCAGCAGCAGCTTCAGGCCGACAGCTTCAAAGCTAAGCAGATGGAAAACCACCAGCTTATTAAGGAGGCTGTAGAAATGAAATCTGTCATGGACTCTATGAAGCAGACAGGTGTAGACCCAACCTCGAGATTTAAACAAGTAAGACTGTGTGGCCTGGCCCCGCCCGCAGGGAGAGAGCAGGGTGAGACCGTCCATGTCGCGGCGGCGCTTAGGCTGCCCTAGGGTGGCGTCCTCTTGTCGCGGAGCTCAGTGCAGAGACTGTCGCAGGAGTTTACGGGCCCTCTGGAATGTGCGTTGCCCACTCTTGCCTTGCCTGGGTGTGTAGTTAAAGGAGCCCCGAGCCAGCGCTTTGCGCACTGTTGCTCCCCTCCAGCTGCTCCCATGCCTTCCTATCTCATCCAGACTATGGCAGCTGTAGCCCAGAGTCACTGAGCTCCCACCTCATGCTGAGAGTTTGAGCTCAAAATAGTAGTTCTTACACATTTCCACATCTTCCAGGGATGAGAACACATGGGGGCCCCAAGACTGACCTTTTCCCACACCTTTTTAAAAATTCTTCTTATTCTTTGGTTTTGGGGACATGCCCGGTGGTGCTCAGGGGTTCCTCCTGGCGTTGCACTCAGGAATTAACTCCTAGTGGCGCTCAGGGGGACCATATGGGATGCCAGGGATAGAACCCAGGTCAGCCCCATGCAAGGCAAGCACCCTACTCGCTGCTCTGGTCCTGCCCTACGCCTCTCGAGTAAAACTCAGGTCCCCATTTTTATTCTTGCATTTCGGTTGTGCCCTGTCTGTTGTTCTCCAGCCCAGTGCAGCGCTGATCAGCACCCTGGCAAAGGAACACCACGAAACTCACTGGTGCTCACATTTCTTTTCACGCTGTAGACTTGTGCCTAGCCCATGTCAGTGAGGACTCATTCAGAGCCCTCGGTGTTTATTTTAGGATTTCCTACCTCTACCCTCTGTGAATTTTAGCAGCAGAATTGTCCTTTATATTCATGTCTTTCTAACAGTTAGAGCTAGAACCCCACTTTGAATGTTTTCTTGGCACCTGTAATGCCCATGGGATTTCTCTCCTTTTGGGGGGTGGGTGCCGAAAAGGTCATTCTAGATCCACCACCCACTTCTGGAAGCCTAAACCCCAGACTGTGACTTCATAGGACCCTAGTTTATAGCTGTGCTATTGGGGAGCTTATCAGCGGATTTGTTTTTAATAGAAAAACTTCATGTATGTGATTTATTTGAATTTTTGTTTTGATAAAATGTTAGCACATTGAGACATGAACCATCCAGTAAGCCTCAACTGCAGTGGTAAATAGTATTAGGAAACTGATGCTCCCCTTCCCTCCACGCCCCCCCCCCCCCCACACACACATACATATATTAAGTGATGTTTCTTAGATTTATTAATGGTCAGCTTAAGTTGGAGCCTAAAAAAAATTTTTTTTAATCTGTGTAAGGTAATAAAGAGAAATGAGGATTAGGTTAGATGTGCCTGCAGCTGTTATTTAATGTTGAGAAATTTCATTAAGGGCCCCGCTCTGAATCCCAGCAGACTTGTGTCTGCAACCCATATCCGCTCAGGTCCTGACCTTATATGACCTTTGAAAGCTTTGGTTTTTATCTTCTGTAAAATGGAACTTAGAGTGCCTAGCTCGGACATTACTCTAAGAGAAGGGGCTAAGCACGTGTTAGCACATGCATTCATGTTAACACAGTATTAGACGTAATAGTGTAATCATGATGATGAACAGGTTTTTCTGAAAAGTTAAAAATTTTCACCTCTTCCCCCATACCTCCTCCCCCCCCCCCCCCAAAACTCAGGATCCAGATTCAAGGACGTGGCATCATTACATGTACCAGCCCAAGTACCTGGATCCGCAGAAGTCAGAAGAACTTGACAGAGACAAGAAATTGAAAGAGGATAGTCCCCGGAAAACACCCAATAAAGAGAGCGGGGTGTCCACCCTTCCCGTCTCATTAACGAGCATTAAGGAGGAACCCAAAGAGGCCAAGCGTCCTGATTCTCAATCCATGGAGGAGAACAAGCTGAAAAATGATGATCGGAAGACACCCGTGAACTGGAAGGACTCTCGGGGGACCCGGGTGGCTGTGTCCTCACCCATGAGTCAGCACCAGTCCTACATACAGTACTTGCATGCGTATCCTTACCCACAGATGTATGACGCCAGCCACCCTGCCTACCGCGCTGTCTCGCCTGTCCTCATGCACAGCTACCCGGGTACGTGCCTCGGGCTCTCACCCTGCTGGGGCAGGGACTGTGCCGAGTATGAGCTGTTCAGGATAAATTAGGCATTTCAAGGGGTGACACTGGCTTTTTACTGCTTAAAAGTCCCACAGATGAAACTGATCCAGTGTGACGCTTCTTTTCTTTCAGTTGAAATGTCAGGAGTTCTCAGCTGTAGTTTCCACGGGCTCTGCTGTTCCTGCTGTGGCTGTTAGACTGACAGCTACTTTATTGCCTATGAAAATATTCTAAGCACTTACTGTCATAATCATGATAGTTACTATTTCTTTCACTTAAGCGGACACATAACTGTATGAAATGGCTTTAAGCTCAATTCTGTTTATAACCTCCATTCATTGGGACAAATTAACTGGGAGGAAAAAACCAGGAGAAACCTCCTTGCAGTTTAACACTGATATAGCCCATTCTTAATGCAATCCCCTATTTCAAGATCTCTGGCTCCTACCCCAAATTCATGTAATCCAAATGATTTTTTTTTTTAAGATGGAGCCTGTAACTTGATGTGGCATTTGTTGTTTATCTGCAGGAGCCTATCTCTCTCCAGGATTTCATTATCCTGTTTATGGGAAGATGTCAGGGAGAGAAGAGGCAGAGAAAGTCAATACCAGCCCTAGCATCAACACGAAAACAACCACTGAATCGAAAGCACTGGATCTGCTCCAGCAGCATGCCAACCAATACCGCAGCAAGTCTCCTGCTGTACGCCTCCTTTTGTCCTTATTGAAAAGTACTATGTTTTGGGGTGGGAAATGGGAGAGGAGAACAAGCAAGAGAATGGTTTTGAAATAGAAATGGTTTGGGAACCCAGCTGTGACTTCAGGGTGCTGTTTTATCCTAATAACCTCAAGAAGGGAGTGTTCAAAGTCAGATGCTTTGACGGATGACGGGAGGTTGTGTATGGTGGTAGCAGGTTTTTCTGTTGTCGAATCTTGCATACCTTGTCAACCGATTGGGATGCTCATTAGCATCCTCCAAATTCCTAGAAACCAAGTTCTGGTGCAAAATATTTTGGGGGGCAGGATGTGTGAGGCACTCATGTGTGCCAGGGCAAGTCGCTTGGCCAAGACACAGCCACATCTGCTCCTTTTTGACTTGTTGTCATTTGCCTGTAACTCTGCAGATGCCATGCGTACGTGTGTTTGTGAAAGATTCCACACCCTCCAATCCTCACAAGCAGACTGCAGCTAGCCCTGGTGACTGTTGTGAAGAGATACAAAAGAATGGGTGTGGTAGTGCTTACGAGAAAAAAACTGGAGTGCTTGCTTTGGCAGCACATATACTAAGCAAAAAACTGGAATCGGGGCATAGGATCCGAGTCCATCAAGAAACTCAATGCAGACAGTAGGAAAGATGATTTATGAATATTTCCTCTCAGAACCCAAATGCAAATATTTCTTTTGAGTGAAAAAGAACTTTAAGATTCCTTTTCAAGTGCAAAGAGAATACACAATCCTTAAATAGTGAGTTGTGGGGGCAGGGGTCTCTCTGTGAGCGTACAGATGCTGAGAGACCTTGGAGTGGTTCAGCACGCATCAATGACCTAAACTTGACATTGGCATCTAATATTACTGAAATTATGAGAGAGAATCTTCCCCACAGATGTCCTTAATAAGGTACTGGAGGATGGAGCGATGGTATGGGAGTAGGATATTTGTCTTCCATGCATCCAACCAGGTTCAATTCCCAGCACCAAGTACAGTCCCCCAAGCATTGCCAGGAGTGATAGGTAAATGCAGAGCCAAGAGTAAGCCCTCAGCACTGCTGGGTGCCATGTCTCCCCCTCCACCCCAACTTACCACACGCCCCCCAAAGGATGTTGACCTGGGGTTGACTGGATTGGCTGGAGTATAGTTTCTGAGACCAAGTTAAATTCCTGGCAGCACACACCCCTAAATCCCCAACAATTAGACAGTTAGATCTGAGTTACCAAGTATAATTCCTATTTTAAAAAGTAATAAGGACAGGAGCGATAGTACAGGGGTAAGGTACTGGCTTTGCACATGGCTATATTGCGTCAATACCCAGCACTCCATATGTCCCCCCAAGTACTGCAAAAAAGTATCCCAAGGATAGAGCCTGGAGTAAGCCCTGAGCTCTGCTAAGAGTGGCCTCCAAACCAGATTAAGAATAATAATGATAAAGGGGTAATTAAAAACTAACTTTTCCTTTGATCTGTATATAAAAGTTGTTTCCCCAAAGAAATGGAGTAGATTATAAACCTGCATTGAGAGTGTATAGAAAGTTCTCTTTTTATCCATTTGATTTTTGGGGATACTTGGGGGCTCCTCCTAGCTCTGTGCACAGGAGTGATCCCTGGCAGTGCTTAGGGCAGCCATGTGTGGTGATGGATTAGAAACCAGGTCAGTTATATGCAAAGCAAACACCTTATCCCGTGTTCTATTTCCTCTGCCCTTTATCTGAGGAAAAACCCATGTGCCAGCTGGTTTTCTTTGGGCAGAGTGATTCAGTATTGGCTGAATTTCCAAGGGAACCTTATACTTGTCTTTTGAAATGATGGCCCATTAATAGAGAACTTGAAGGAAGTGTCTGCTTTTTAACCATTAGTGCATAGTAGCAGTGGGACAAAGGTGGTTTGCTCATTGTTTTGCAGAAGATGACAGGGGAACTCTCTCTTTTATGTTGCAGCCTGTGGAAAAGGCTACAGCTGAGCGGGAGCGGGAAGCAGAGAGGGAACGGGACCGCCACTCCCCCTTTGGCCAGCGGCACCTGCACACGCACCACCACACCCACGTCGGCATGGGCTACCCTCTCATTCCTGGGCAGTACGACCCTTTCCAAGGTCAGCAGCTCTTCAGTGTGCCTGTCTTCATTCTGCTCTGGAAAACGATCGCCAAAACTGCCTGGCATGTCTGAGAATCACGTCTTATTAGCTCTGGAAGATTTTCTAAGCTTTATTTTCTCCTATTTCTTAGTGACCTAACAGAAGCTGTTTCTACAACTCTGTATTCTACTGAGACACGAAATGGCCACCACTTAATAATTGTCACTGGTTGATGTTATCAGGGGTGGCTTACTGTTATCTCAGACCGAGGGCTGCGGCCTGTGTCTGGGGCCAGGATATAACAATCAGGAGATCAGATAGCCACTTCAGGGAAATCGGGACACACAGCAGTGCGAGGGTGGGAGGTGCTGCTGAATTGTGACGCGAGCTGGTTTCCGCAGGCTCTTAGGGTTGCTCTTCTCCTGGGGAAGGAATAAGATGAGCTCTCGCACTTGTCATAACGTAAATCAGGACCTCTTCACGGCCCTCACTGCTGTGTGTCATTCTCTGAAGATGGAGAGGTGATTCTTAAAAGCAGGGGATGGACCTGAGGGATGAGTTCTTGGTGCTGTGATTAGCAGGCGCCAGCTGTCCCAGCTCAGCCACCTTCAAGAAACACTTGCCAAGGGACACAGCAGCGTTAGGCAGCCAGATACCAGGGACTGCTGTACAACTCTGAACCAGGGAACAGCGTTAGTGAGACTGAGAGCTGAGATGAGGGGACCAGAGGGGGTCATCCTGGTGTGCAGGTGACCACTATTGGCACATGCTTATGTGACGTCTGTGCATAGAGGGTCTTGGAGGGAGAGGGTTCTGTCTGGTGTGTCATTCTGAGAAGGATACTTCTTTATTGGACCAGTGACCCAGACTTATGAACTTACTACTTCCACGTAGATCATAGTGATTTTCAGTGCAGAGCTTTCACCTAGGAACTCACTTGCCAGGTTCCCTCTCTTTGATGTGTAAATATATGACAAAAATGTATAAAGAGGTCAGAGCAATTATATAGCAGGTGGGCACTTGCTTTGCATACAGACTGACCTGGGTTTCATCCCTGGCACTCCTCCTAGTCTCCCAGCACTTCCAGAGTGGCCCAAGAAACAAAAGCCCAAGAAACAAACAAACAAAATGTGTAAAGATAATCTCTCAAAGTGGGAAGTGTTCGATATGAAACTGTCACTCTCATGTATTCAGCTCATGCCACTTGGTGAAAACCAGCAGAATTAAGAAAATAGAGCTGGGGTGAGGGCTCAAATGGCTGAGCCCATATTTTTGCATGCTAGAGGCTCACTTATTCTACCCAGCACCTGCTGATCCCCTGAGAGCCACTGGGATTAAAATTAATGTTCAGCTTAGCCATTATTTGGAGCTATTCTCTGACTGCCATCTTTTCCTTAGAGGCTAAAAGTTAAGGCTCTTTCAGAGTTTGATTCACTAATTCCTTATACCGTTCGGCTGCATTGTTCAGTCAGTCACAGGGGAAAACATCAAAGTGATAAAATGCATTATGAAAGTCTTGTATGCTAAGCAAATAGCATGGCGCCTCTATAATTCACTGTGACTTTTGATTCCTGTCTTACCTGGTACCTATTATTTCTCCTGGGCTTCCTATTCAGAAATGCATGCAAACCATTTAGTGCTATTCAGAGCTAGAGAGATGGAAAGCTACCCTCTCTTGGAATTGCTGTTCAAGAGAATGGCAGAATATGTGTGTGATATTGGTTAGACCTGACGCTTTGTGCTCTGTCTTTGCTGCCCGGAACATATCCTGTGGGTGTGAGGGACAGATTGCTGCCTTAGGGCTTGCAGCCCTCTACCACAGGGATCTGGAGCTGCTCTGCTTTTGCTGTGTGTCATGGAACCTTGTTCTTTCCCCACCAGGCCTGACCTCCGCTGCCCTAGTTGCCTCCCAGCAGGTGGCCGCCCAAGCCTCTGCATCAGGAATGTTTCCTGCACAAAGAAGGTAAATAGCTTCTGCTTTGGGAACTGTTTTTCTAAACAGAGACAGATGAAGTGGATGGGCAGAAGAAATACTGGCTTTTAGACCCAGAGCTTAGCTCCGTGGGTTTTATGGTTTTTTACCAAACTTGATTTTATTTGTTATTTAAGAAGCTCTTGTGGTGCCACTCTTCTTCACATGTAAGGTAGATTCCGTGGGCCTTACTCTGAGCTCTATTGAAGTCACAGTGAAAAAGTCATTATTTCAAACAGTTGCAAGTTTCCTAGATTAGCTTCATGGCTTTGTTAGACTCACTTGCCTTGATACCCCTCGTTTCCTCATGTTCCACAGTGGTCACAACAGAGCAATGAATGTTATGTTCATAATACTAAAGGTGATATTTGCTCCTTAATGATTTGAGTTGTCCCATAAACTGTCTTCAGAGGGAACTGGTTTCCCACAGTTTATGTCACTGTGGCAAAGCCCTTGATTTTCTATGTAATCGACTTCCCGGAGTTGAATGAAAAGAAGCTGAACAGCCTTAGGTTTGAAAAATTTTATTACTCCATGCGTTAACACCCTTATGCTAAGAGTCTCTTTTCTTTTGCAGAGAATAACAAGATTGGAAATGTACGTTGTCATGTGACTGGATCACATGGGGAAGCGCTTTATACAGACATCAGTTCCATGGTGTTAATTTGAAATGCCTTAATGGCAGGCAAAAACCAGTCATTTCATTTTTGTAAATTACAGATTTTATCACAGAGTAACAAATGTTGCTGTAATTAAACTTCTGTTTTATATATATATACGTATACATATATGTGTATATACATATATATATATATATATTCTTTACTTTTTGTATCAGTAACCAGGCTCGCACACACAGGGTCTGCTGCCAAGTCGCAAACCACTCAGTAAAAGGAAATAAAAAATGTATTTGTCATGTTGAAAAGTGTTAGCCACAAAAGGCTGCTTACTTTCTTTGCCTTTTCCTTTTCACTTGTAAATAAATAATGTTATGTATCAGTGTGCCTGAACCTTTGCATATCCTCCATATACTTCCCGTCAGCTCCTCAGAAAGGCTGACTGTGATGACACTTGGGTACAATTTAGATGTCCACGTAGGTGGCTCCCGTTAAAGACGCATCAGTGTGAAATGTTCTGTAGTCACTGTTTGTACTGTGTATTGTGGGAAAGAAATACTTTGTGAAGGCATGGGGTTGCCAGTACCACAGAAACTGTGTTGTATATAATGTAAAGATTAAAATGGGGAAATAATGAGCATCTGTGAATAATGAAGTGTCATTTTTTGATAATCTTGAATGGCAAATAACCCAATAGCCTGCATACCAGAGACACCTGTGATTGTTCTATTACTTGAATAGTCCTGCAGTCCTTTTTTTTTCCCCCCACTGTTTACAATTATCCAGTTTTAGAAGAGAGAGACTTTAATGCCATTGCCTGGTTACTTGTTTTATGCTGTAATCTAGTTTATTTTATGTAAAATGTATATTGAATGCTTTCCTTTTTTATACCTGCCTTAAATAATTTGGCAATCAGAATTAAAAAGGTTTTTTTTTTTATAATGGCTTCTTGTCTGACTCGTGTTATTTCTAGCTGGTGGGTAGTGTTTCTCATGCTCAGAGAAAGGTTTCTTAATATCATGCCTGTCTAATGCATTGAGATACAGAACACAGATACTGACTTTTCTCATACACACAGCTGTAACAACCAACTAGTACGTTTCATTCACTGGGTCTATGCATATATACTGGCTATTTACTCCAGGCATGGAGCATAATGTCACTGCAAATTGGTAGCTACAGGTCTCCTGTAATACAGAGTGGGATCCCGAAGGTGCTAGACTTGTGACAAATGAACGGTAGAGAAAAATGTGCAAAAAGCCAGTCAGCTAGCCATTTATTTGACTTGCATCAACTATGTTTTAGTAGCATATTTTATGCCAAATGTGCAGAACTAACTGCTCTCTCACTTCTTCCTTTCCGCCCAACTGGCACTCACTCAGGGCCGATTTTATCCCAGGCATTATAAAACGCTGGGATATAGTAGCACACAAAGCGAAATCTCCTTTCCAAGTTTGCGTTCTCCAGTAAAGTGGGGTAAACATCATAAAACCTACAAGCAACGAGAGGAATATGTTAGACAACTGGTAATAAGTCAGTGCTATACAGAGAAGGTAATAAAAATCAGCTGTTGGTGAGTGGTGTGGAGAGAAGTGAAGGAGGGAAGTGGGAGGGAACAGTGTGTGTGGAGGTTGCAAGGGTCACGAACTATGGAGAGGTCTTGGTACGGAGAAGGAAGACACCTCCAAGGCACTGCTGTACCCCATCCCCGTTGCAGTGAGCCCTGCCAGCTATCATGGTTCTATCGTTTTTTAAATTGGGAGTGGGAGGGGAGTGGGGGTAGGGCTTCTAAGTAGTACACAGGGGCCCCAGGGGCCCTCCCTGCAATTCTTGGCCAGTCTGGTGAAGATGCAATGCTGCTCAGGGCAAGGCACCACCTGAGTGCCAGGGACCATCCTGTTGGGCATGCGGGGCTGGGGATGGCCCAGGGTCAGCTGCGTGCTGGGCGTGCACCTTAACCCTACTCTACATGCTCTCCAGCACCTGTGATTTATTGTGCAGATATCCCCCTATTTTTTTTATTTGGCTAAAGCCACATAGGTTTTGCAAAAACAGCTGCCTCCTAATACACCTTTTCTAGTAGCATGGAGAGGGGTTTTGGTTTTACGACAGACACTGACAAACAAAATCCAGGGCCTGTGCGACAGCCGTAAGCGGAACACCAGCCAGTACCTTCCAGGCTCCTTCTCGAACCTACTTCCTGCACGTGTATGTTTCTCATCTTTTTTATTTTTAATGCTGCGAGTGTTATTTTAGGTCGTGTGTGCTACTGGTATGATTTGGTAGATTATTAAAAATTTTCCTATATGCATTCATGGTAGCTGCTTTCTTGCTTTCTTGGGGGAAAGGTTTCCTTTTAGAAATGCGCTACATTGGAAAGCAGGGGAAATCTAGCAATTAGAGCTAATCACACATTGTACCCTTCGAATGTTTACAGAAAGTTCTTTTAAGGTGAGAGATTTACAGAAAGTTGAGGAGGTTTTTATGTTTGTTTTGTTTTGTTTTAGCCTTGGTGTTTGTTACTTGCCTAATTTTCGTACTTAGAAGACTATGCTTCACAAATGAATAGATTGTTGAGGGGGATTTACGCCCGGCAGTGCTTAGGGGTTACACCTAGCTCTGCACTCTACAATTACTCCTGGTGGTGCTCAAAAAGGGATCATAAGGGATGCTGGGAATCGAACCCAGGTGGACCACGTGCAAGGCAAATGCATGTTGGAGAATCACTTTATAGTGTTGTCTCACACTGTGCTTTCCAGGTCTAGTGGCTAAACAGATTTCAGTTGGAGGATGTCCTTCTCCCAATTAAGCTTTTTTTCCTTTGGAATTTTATTGATCTTACATTTTCAGAATCAAATTGTGTTTATTTCACAGAACTGGGCATGTAACTCAGTTGTTAGGGTACTTACCTCACAGGTATGAAAGTGGATTCCATCCCTTGCATTGCAAAAAAATAAGAAAAAAACCTTAAATATATATTTTAAGGTGATAGCAAAAACATAAGAAAAAATATTTTAAGGGTGATAGCTACAAGGGCCGGGGCACTTGTTTTGTATGAGGGAAGCCTGGGTTTGAGCCTTGCACTGCATGACCCCTAAGCACTCTGAGCACAGTGGAGTGTACCTTCTCCCTGCCCTCCCCCCAAAAAACATCTCATGCACTTTTTTTTACACATCAAATTATATTAGTTCTTTTTAGTAGAATTTTGAGGCAACATTGGTTTACAACACAAGTTTCCAATTTGCATGTTCATTTCATTCTGCATCCCTAGCCTGATCACCAACGAGCGTACTTTCCATTCATCACCATAGAGTTGACTTCCTGTAACCAGTTAGTAACCATTACCCACCCTCCTCTTCTTCCCCTCTAGTTGCTGCCATCATTCTGTCAGAAGGTGACAGGATTTATCAGAATTGTTTTTGTTTTGATTGCTTCTTTATCTTCCACATGGGAGTGAAATCGTGATTTTTTTCCCCCTGCTTATTACTCTCTGCATTCTCCCACCTATACACAATACATGTGCTATCACAAACGGCAAGATTTCATTCTTAATTATGGCCAAGTCATTCTGTATATACACCACTCTTCACATCTTCATTCATCTATAGATGGGCATACAGGTTATTTTTATATTTTGTTGATTATCACACCCACAGAAAATGCAGAGATGCGTATATATTTTCAAATTACTGTTTTAGTATTCCTTGGACTAATCTAGATGTGGAACTGAACATGAGTCATGTGGCATTTCTACTTTTTGTTTTTTAAAAAATACTCATATCACACACTCATATATAATTAACAGGGTTATAGTCAATCATACTAGCTTTGAAAATTAATAGATCTTCTTTGTTCTAGTGTACAATGTTATTGCATGACCACCAAAAATATTCATACTGTCTCCCAGGATCACTGTGCCTGTGCCTATTTACAATTCCACCGCTTATCTTGTCTCCTTTTTTTTTTTTTTTTTGCTTTTGGGTCAGACCTGGCGATGCACAGGGGCTACTCCTGTCTTTGTACTCAGGAATTACTCCTGGCGGTGCTCAGGGGATCATATGGGATGCTGGGAATAGAATCCTTGTCGGCCGTGTTCGAGGCAAATGCCCTACCCACTGCACTATCGCTCCAACCCCTCTTGTCTCCTTTTGATATTAGTCTTTGTATCTGGCGTGAGGTTATGCTTGATTGTGATATGATTTGCATTTCCCTAATAATTAGTGATGCCCAAATAATTCAGCCATTGAGACCCAGATCTGAGATCAACTTACATCTTCCCCAGTTGATCGCATTCCTGTCCATGGCGAGCCGGGTGATACTGTGGGGGCCTAGTAATGATCCCCCGCTTTTACAGATGCCTATTCTTAAAAGGGAAAGGAAGTCCTTCCTGCCTTCCAACTGCAAGATGACAAAATGAATATGAATTTCGTACTCCTGCATCCGTGCTTTTCATTTTCGCTTGAAAAAGTAGAGAGGTGCCTGGATCAGATGTGACGAGGGCCATCGGCTGCCGTGGAACTCTGCTTCTGTAATAAACAGGAATGCTGATAAATAACAGAGAGAAATATGGCCAAAAGCAGAACACAATTTGAATAGTTTTTCCCCCTAGGCATTTACTGGAACATTATTCATGACTGGTTTACATTAATCACTAAATGAAGTTTTGTTCCTTCCCCCTTACTGTTAGTGTTGTCTTCGCTGATGACAACATGAATTGCCAAAGGCCAGAGCTTGTTTATATTATGTGTGCCATTTCTCTAGCTGAGTACATAGTCGGTACTGAATGGTAAATTAAAGATTCCCAAAAGACAAGCATACTTGGCTCCATTATATTACTATGATGAATCTGCCATTAATACGGTTCTAATTGTTTTACTTTTATGGACATAAAATCAGTCCCCTTAGTGACTAATAATAGGGTTTATTGATTTTACAAAACATTATTCATTCCACGCCTGCTCCTATCACCTTTCCAGAATGTATGCAAAAAGCCCGCAGAGCAGACGCGGTGCAAATTAACTTTCTGGAGAAAGGAGAAGGAAGAGTTGTTTACAGCTGTGGTCCCATTGAGTGGAGAATATTAAAAACAAGGTTATAGGCTTCAGCTAGAACCATTTGTTGCTAGATTAGAATCTCGGATGGTTCTTCCATAGGAGCTTGGCGTTAATGTGCAGCCCTGGTCATTAACTCTCCGAGGCTGGCCTCTCAGAGAATCCTGCTGGCTGTGACCTTGAGTAAGCAGCGTGCATCGCTCTGATTGATATGGGATAAAACAGCGGTTTAAATGATAATTACTGGCCCTTTCATTCCCTCCCTGTCTCTGCAAAAGAGACCAGACAGCAAAGCCATTTGTTAGCGTTTTTGCTGCTGACCACCGTGGTCCATTCCCCCGCTTCCTGTGGCGTGCAGGTCACCAACGTCTTGGCCTTTACATACACTTTGGGAGTGAGAACCAAACGGCGCTTCTGTCATGGATTCTTTCTCATTTTTCTTAACAAATTCACTCTTGAAAGCAGGCTTCACAGTCTCCGCCCACTGACATTGGGAGCAGAAAGCTCTGGGGGCGGGGGAGGAGGTGCCCTGTGCATGGGAGAGTATTTAGTTGACCTTGGCCCGTCGTATGGCAACTGGTAGCCACCCTCACATCCCCAAACTTGTTACAGCCACTGGTCACATTTTATTTATTTATTGCACCCGACAGTGCCCACTGGCTGCTCCTAATGGTGCTGGGGATTGAAGCAGGGTTGGCTCCTCCCAGCCAAGCATCTTAACCCCTGCCCTATTTCTTCAACCCCCTTGCATGAATTTCTGCTCTCCCTTGCCCCTCTGTGTCCCCTCGACAGAAAGCTGGCTCATTCTTCCCCTGCCTAGAAGACATAAAAACTCTTGAGTGTCTCCTAGGAATGTCATAAAAATCTAAGAGGTTATGCTCATTTGA